ATTAAAACAAGCAACAGATGAACGAACTAAAAAACTTGAGGAATCAATGACATATCATAATTGGGCATCAAATTTAGATGAAGAAAATGCTTGGATTAAAGAACGTTTACATATAATGAATAATCCTGATATTGGTAATACATTAGTTGCTGTACAAGCTTTAGAAAAAAAACATGAATCATTTGAAGCTGATTTTATTATACAAAAAGAACGTTGTCAAGATATATTACAACAAGGACAAAAATTAATTGAACAAGTTAGATTTATAAAAAAAAAAAAAAAGGATTAATTAAAACTTAAGATTATAATTTATTTTAGAATAATCATTTATCACCACAAATTAATGATCGAATGAATTATTTACAAGATGCATTAAAACGTTTAGAAATTGATGCTAATCGACATAAACAACGTTTACAAGAAAATGCTTCACTTCTTCAATTTATGTGGAAAGGTGATGTTGTTGAAAGTTGGATTGGTAAGTTTTGAGTAGAAATTAACTAATCTTTAGTAAAATAATGAAATTCAAGGAATGTTTTTACAATTTTGTTTTTTTTTTTTGTAGAATTATTTTTTCTTATGTATGGTAGTAATTCGAACCCAATATTCAGATTCGAATAGAGTTTCTGAGTAGCACTGTAATTCAAACGATGAACTATCAGTGGCGTAGTCAGGGGTAGGGCCATTGGACAATTACCCATAGCTCCAAAAGTTATTGCCCGTGGATTTATTGAGCTATGTAGTGCTTGAACAGTTATTGCCCATAGATGTTTTTGAAATCATAACGGTTGCCCGTAGCTGCCCGTAACACAAAATAGTTCGACTGGTGAATTGTCCATGACTCACAAATTCCTCGCTACGCCACTGTAAGCTATCATTTATGATCATAAGTCAGTTGAACGAAGAATTAATTTATTTAAAAACTCTAGGGAAATTCTATATCATTCTTTAAATTTTTTTAATTATCGTATTCTTTCGTGACTTTTGAGACAAATTTTTTCTCTCAAGGGAAGACACACATTATTCATAGTTAATATTTATCTTTTAGAAATGAATATAAATTTCATATTGATTCTTAATTGTTTGTTTAGGTGAAAAACTTCATCAATTACGTACTGATGATTTGGGTCATAATTTATTATCTGTACAAAATCTTCTTACACGTCATGAAACATTTGAAGCTGGTTTAGGTAATTTTGAACATGAAGGTATACGTTCAGTAAGTGAACTTAAAGAAGAATTATTAACAAATCGTGGTAATACATCACCTGAACAACATGATAAAATTCAAGCACGTTATGATCTTGTTTTAAATAAGTATGTAAAAAATATTGAAAAAAAAATATATAGAAGTATAAAATAAAAATTTAATTTTAGTTGGCAAAAATTATTACAAACAAGTGGATTAAGACGAGAAAAATTGAAAAAAGCAGAAGATCGTTTTCGTAATATTGAAGAATTATTTTTACGTTTTGCTAAAAAAGCATCAGCATTTAATTCATGGTTTGAAAATGCTGAAGAAGATCTTACTGATCCAGTTAAATGTAATTCATTAGAAGAAATTCGTGTATGTTTTTATACTTATTTTTTAATTTTGTTTTTTTTTTTTAAATAATTTTTATTTTTAAAAAGGCTCTTATCGATGCTCATGATCGATTTAAAACTGTTCTTGAAGAAGCTCGTTATGATTTTGATGAACTTAAAGCATCTGATGATAGTATTAAATCATTGAATATGGCTGCTAATCCATATACATGGTTTACTATGGAAACACTTTTTGATACATGGAAAAGTTTAGAAAAATTAATTCGAGTATAAACAACAACAACAAAAAAAAAATGATTTCAATTTATTTTCATAATAGAATTTTTCTTTTTTTTTCTGTGTATTTAGGATCGTGATAATGATCTTCAATTAGAAAAGAAACGTCAAGAAGAAAATGATAAATTAAGACAACATTTTGCTGAATATGCTAATGCTTTCCATACATGGTTACGTGGCATTGAGTATGATTTTTTTTCTTTTTTTTTTGTAAATAATCATTCTTAGTTGTATTAATTTTGTTTTCTTCTATTCTAGATCATCTATGATGAATGCTGATGGTAATCTTGAACAACAACTTCAAACAATTAAAGTAAGTAAATAAAAAAAGATTTTTTTTTTAAATAATTTTTTTTTTTTTGTAGCAAAAAGTTGATGAACTTCGACAACAACGACAAAAATTAAAAAAACTTGAAGATCTAGCAACTGAACTTGAACGTCGATTAATTTTAGATAATCGTTATACAGAATATTCTGCACTTAATCTTGCACAAGCCTATGATCAATTAGATCAATTAGGAATGCGTATGCAACATAATTTAGAACAACAATTAGCTGCTATGAAACATAGTGGTGTTAGTGAAGATCAAGTACGAGAATTTTCAATGATGTTTAAACATTTTGATAAAGATAAATTGGGACGACTTAATCATCAAGATTTTAAATCTTGTTTACGAGCATTAGGATATGATTTACCAACTGTTGATGATAATCAACGTGATGAACAATTTGAATCTATTCTCGATGTTGTTGATCCTAACAGGTTTGTTATTTATTAAATTATTTTCTTTTATCTTATATATACTGCACAAAATTAAATCAATAGTTAAAAATCAGTCATTGTCTAAAAATGTGTGGAATCAATTAAAGATATTTTAATAACAATTTGTGATGTCTTTTTTTGAAATTAAATCGATTCAATGTTTAAATTTTAAAGAAATAATATGGATTTGAAAATTTATTTTATTTTATAGAGTTGGTACAGTGACTTTACCAGATTATATGACATTTATGATTAGTCGAGAAACTGAGAATGTTTCATCAATTGATGATGTTGTTTTGGCATTTAAGAGTTTAACAGAAAATTCTGAACGACCATATATAACACGTGATGAACTCTTTGCCGTATGTTATTATTAAAATTTATTTTGTTCTCAACAATAAATATTAAAAAAAATGTTATGTTTTTATTTTTAGAATTTACCATCAGAACAAGCTAAATTTTGTTGTCGTAAGATGAAACCATATCGAGATCGTAATGGTCGTGAAATCAATAATGCATTTGATTATGATGATTTTACTCGTTGGTTATTTAATCAACAACCACATTCAAGTTATAGTTATCATACATCAGCTGTATCATCACCATCATGATCATAGACTTAAATATTAGTTTATTGAAACACAGTCTCCATCTATATATATATGTGTGTGTGCGTGTGCATTTTTTTGTTTGTGGTTAATTGGTTTCGCTTTTTTTTGCTTATTCTGTATACTATTTTACTCAAAACTAATTATCCCTTTTTTTTTCATTTTTGTTTGCTTATGATTAGAATGAACACAAAAAAACAACAAAACCAAATGGTTGTATGTGTGTGTAATGAATTGGGACAAAAAACATATAATTTAGCTTTAGTGTCTTTTTTTTATGGTATATAATACATTGTATGTGCAATAAGACTTATTTTATCAAAAGAAAAAAAAGTCAAAGCCAATCTCATCAAAAGATGAAGAACAATAATAGTTTCAAAAAAAATAAAATTCTCAGATAAATAATCAGAGTATCATCGGGCAGAATAGTGACCGGACAATTACTTGCGGGTGTGTGAATGTGCATGTCGGTGTCAGTGAGGATCTTGTCTGTACACTCACCAAGACAAGAAAAGCGAGATTTCAATACTCCGAAGTCTTGTTTTTCTCCCTTGACCATCAATTACACTCTAAGGCATATTCACTCACTTTTGATGCTTCTTCAGAATACTATAAAAAACTCGTGTTATGCAACGAATTGCCCTAGCAACTAAAAAACAGATCATTAGAAACAAAGTCAAAGTTATTATTATTTATATCTTGTTATGAAAAATATGTTGTCAAGTAAAACCACTATCGAAAAGTAACATACACATAATGACAAAAATTTTAATTCAACAATACAAATAAAAACAAAACAATGCATGAAAAGTTTTTCTCTGTTTTTTAAAACACATATGCTTCTGAAATAATTTTCTATGGACATAATTTCTGTGTTGAAGATGAGTATTGCTTGAGTTCTTGGTTGTCCGACAGTGAGATCCAGACCAAACATTTATATAATGACAATATTATCCCCTCAATGACAAACTTTCAGTTGCCATTTTATATCGTACTCGGTTTTGTTCAACTAGTTCTTGTGAAAATTTTGAAGAATATTTTATTCGGTAGCTTCAACTTTCGTCAATATTTATCGCATAGGATCAAAATAAATATTTCTCTTGAATAAAAAATCCTTTTTCTTCTAAATAATCCCGTAGTTGTCTCTTTTGCAGACAGATACATGATGCAAAATATTGTTTTGCCAATTGTTGCTTAAGGAATTCTAGACACAAAATGTATAAGAAGTTTATTAATATCATGCCTTCTAAATTTTCTGTCATGTTTCTACAATTAGCATGCTCCGTTGTCAAGGGAGAGTAAAAAGTTCATGAAGCTTTGCGACATCTATTGATTGAACTGATGTAACATGATTTTACAGTTTGTTTGAACTATGGCAACATGAATACTCATGGTATGAATGGAACCAATGAATATAGATAAATCTCTATGATTCTTTGCATGAATAAACGATTTCTCATCAGTCATAGTATAAAAAAAAATCTGATTCATTTCGTTGTCAATTTCTGCTGACTTTTCTACACAAGCAGAAAGCTTCCGGTGAGTAATCATAGTAACAATGTTACTACTGAATAATTCTTTTCTTTTTCTTGATGAAATAGATAGAAAGACACGCTCGAGGTCATATGAGTTGTTAGGTAAAAGTAAGGTTCATACTAATATATATATATAAATGCAAAACTTTCAATCAGTTTTTGACTTATTCTTAAATCTTCATTTTATTTTGAACCATTACAAAAAGACTATTATGTTCAAGGATATCTTCCAAAAAAAATGATTTTTTTTTTGTTCAATATTTCAGATAAAATATGAAAGTTGAATTAACAATTGAAAAAAATGTTGTTCTAAAACGTGATAAACCATGGTCACATTTTTATTTTCTCAATGATAATGAACTTTTATGTTATAATGAAAATAAAAAATTTGAATTAGTTAATTCATCTAATGGTAAAATTGAACATATTTCAAATAAAACAATAATAAATATTTCTAAAACATCTCTTACTCATTGTATATCAAATAATGGTCAATTATGTGCATTTCTTTCTTCAAATTATGAAATAATAATATGGGATAAAGATAAATTAATTCGAACAATACCATCATGTTCATTAGCTAAAAAAGCAATTAAAACACCACCACAAATTTATATAAGTAATAATGGTGAACAAGCTATTCTTATTTTACAACAACCATATCGATTATTTCTATGGCTTAAATTATCTCATTCTCAATTAATATCTGCTAAACATCATCATAAATCTCCAATATGTTCAAGTATATCGAGTCATACAATAGGTGAAATAGGTACATGGCATGAAATAAATTTAGCAAATCAACAATTTGATATTATAAATGATGATCAATATCAAACATCTATTGATTGTTTTTTTCGTTCAAAAAATTCTTCAATTATTTGTGCATTTGCTTGTTTTGATCGATCAGGTTTTATTCAAATAAATCGTATTGATATTAATTGGAAATCAACAATTTATTCAGAACAATTAATATCATATTCATTTGAAATATTACAAATACCAATCATGTTACCATCATTATCATCATCATTATGTTTTATATGTTTTGCTCATTCATCACCTATATTAGCTATTGGTTTATCAACAAATATTCTATTAATATCATTAACAACATTAGTATTTTCAAAAATCATACCTATTGATTGTTCATTTAAAACATCATCACCAAGTCATTTACAAGTATTTATAAATGATTTAATATGGAGTTATGATGATCAATTTATAATTGGTTTAACAAATCGTGGTGGTCTATTTTTTCTTAATCGTTTTGGTTCACAATTAAATTTAATAACACAAGGTGAATGTATAACACAAGGACCATCATTATTTGTTATAATACATCCATTAATTGGAAAAGATAGTGAAGCAACAACACATTTAGGTTTAGATTCATTTATGCAATCAATTGCACCATTTTCAGATGATGATAAAACTAAACAACAAAAATTTTCTTTAGCTGTTAATACAAATAAATCATTAATTTATTGTAGTGATGGTTATCGTTTAGCACGTTTAACTTATTCAAATAAAATTCGTGATAGAAGATTTTATGATCCATTACTTAGTTTATATTTAATGGATTTAAATAAACAACAACAACAAGAACATTCAGTTTTTATACATAAAACAAGGTAACAGATCAAGACGTATTAGATCATAAATCTATTCATTATTTCATTAAAATTTATGTATGATTCGATGTAGAATTTAAGACTGACCAGGAAATCTCTTTAGTTGTCCCTTTCCGATTTCCACTGTGTTTTTCTCTCTAAATACTCAATAATATTATAATCAAAATCTTCAAAAGGAATTTGGTTTTATATTGAGTTTGCTAGTCATTTCAGATCTATTCTACAATGTCTAGGATAATAAAGGCTAGAAATACTAACCTAAGTTACTCATCATCGAGATTGCCATCGATATCGTGAGATAACTTGTTTACAGAAATATTGCTTTCGTTTCAGAATGGTTTCATAAGATAGAGCATTCAATTTTGTAATAGTTACTATAAGAAAAATACTCACTAAAACCACTTTTCAATGTCTTTCATTCGTCACTTCCTTATTGGTTAGTCGTATGTTGACTGAAAATTTGTACAACACATTTCAAACTCAACGAATATCGATCACGTGACAAGTCTTGAGTACGTTATTTTCTCAAGATGCTTTTGTATCTTATGGACATTTAGCAGATGTTTAGTCAAAATTGAGTTGATATATGTCTATTTCATATGCTTTCATAAGCATTTTTTTTCTCGAAAAATTAAGTCAAAGTTTCCCTTAGGTTCCACTCAAAAAATGAATTTCACTGAAATGTTGTTGAAACAATTGAGATTGAAATCAAAACATGTGGTATGCAGTCCGATTGAATTTCTCGACACAAAAAATGTTGAGGAAAACATATTGAATATAGATAAATCAACTCACTTTTTGACGTTGATTTCAAATTTAGTTCTGGTTAAGAAAATAACTTTTCTGATTAAAAATCTGCTAAATATCCATAAGACACAAGATCTTCCCTGATGAATGATGTGCTTGACTCTTTTCAGGTGACCAGTATCCTTAAAGTTTGAAAAGTGATATAGAGCGATATATCAAGAGTTACTTGAATCGAACCTTATGAGTCGCATCATTCGAGGAATAGATAAGCAGTACCGAATTTTCAATTAATATATTGCTGATCGCTAATGAAGTGACGAATACAAGACACTGAGAAATTATTTTCATAGATTTTTTTCTAATAGTGACTGTCGCAGACTTGAATACTCTATCTAATAAGACTAATCTGCCATGAAAGCAACATTTTTATAAGGAATTTATCTCATAGTATAGATGACGATTTCGACAACAAGGAACTAAGATTAATTATTGCTAGCCTTTATTGCTCTAGACATTATTGACTCATTCATAAATTTTAATAATCTAAATAATGGACAGATTTGTGGTCTTATGCGCTCTAGTCCTTTTCGTTTTTTACTAGGCTAAAAATAAAATAAAATCTTATTTAGATCATTTGATGAATTTCCAAAAGTTGGTGATCGTATTGATACAGAAAGTATTGGTGGTGGTGAAATAAACATGTCAAAAAAATATGGAAGTTCAACATCATTAACAATTGATGATTTACCTGAATTGTCATTAGATGATATTTTTTCTGCATATCATCTTCTTTTAACATCATCGGAACGTATTCAACATGAAATATGTTCATGTCTTGAAAGAACAACACGAACAATACTTCTAGCACCGAATAATAATGATATACTTACATCAATTCAATTATCACATTGTTTAACAAATCTTGTTTTATCATCTTCATTTGGTTCATTAACATTTTTACATCTTTCATGTTTAACAAAATTTATACCATTATTTATCGATGTATTTAACCAACAAACAACTGTTGTAAATGATCCAGAATTATTACAATTATGTATTTTATATATTATTGAACAGTGGTTACAAGCTATTTTATATATACCAACAAAATTCAAAACATTTGAATTATGTCGAAGACAAAAAGTAGTGACATATAATGAAGGAGACGAAGAACAAGAAGAAGAAGATGAAAAAAATTTTCGACTTTGTAAAGGAATTAAACAATTAGAATTATTACAAGGAACAAATATAAAATTAGATGATTTTTTACCATCTTCATTACCTAATCGACGACAGAATTTACAGGTAAAGATTTTCTTACGACAAATACCTTCCAATTGATCATTTCCTTGTGAGTCGAGACCATGTGTAACATACAGATTCAATTGAGTTATGAATATTATGAAAAGAGTTCATACTTTTCGTTTATTGCTGCGAAGGTAAGGACGCATTAATTTCTAGAGCAGAATATTAAAGAGAACATTTTTTTCCTTGTGAACTATTTATATTAGTTATGAGCAGTTATTCTTGTTCTATCCGAAGCTCTAGTCAAAATTAATGACTTAGCAAACAAAGGTTTCAGTATCGATAAAAATTTCCTAATTTTTAGTTTATTTCGAACAATTTCAACATCTGTACTTTGCATTAGATAATTGCTAGGAGTGAAAATATTGTAGCCTCTGATTAGAAATTTAAAGAATTGGTTTATTCCTGCTTAGAAAAACATGTGTTCAATATTCAGACTTATCAGACTTCTAAGAGTTCTTCATACTAGTTGTGATTAGATTTTTTTCCAAAATAAAAACACTATTGTTATGAATAGTAAAGGCTTGTCTGAAACAAATAATCTATCTGAGATCTGTCCTAATTGTTGACTATGTTAGTGTTATTAATATTTTTGTAGGACATTCTCTATAAAACTCTCAACTATATTAATATTTCTTTATATGTGTTTTTATATTCAAGGCAAATGATTCACATTATAATCGTTTTACTCTTCTTCGTTCATGGTATAAATTATGGATATCAATAGAAAAGAAATTTTATCTTGATATAAAAAATATACCAAAATATTTAACAACAATTCGTCTTTTTATTCAATCAATATTACATTCATATCCATCATTAAATGCTATTCGTCTATTACCATATGGTCATCAAATTGATTTAAATGATCTTTTTCCACCAGTAATAGCACCTGTTGATCATCCATTGCATACAAAAGGTTATTCAACATTAAATGAACGTCGAAAACATCGTCGTCGATCACGTAATTCAATTGATATGCCAAATTCAGCACGTTCATATCGTCATGGAAAACCACCAACAGAAGCACGTAAAGCTCTTGCACTTCATCGTGTACTTTATGCATTAATTGAACAATATAATATTCGTGATGCTGTATGCATACTTAATGTTGCTTTACGACGTGAAACATCACTTTTATCATCATGTCTTCCAATAGATTTATTTAGTGCAAATTTATTTCAACATATTGATACTCGAACTTATTTTGGTATGCCTGGTAATGCTTTACGTTCTGTTCTACGTACTTTAGCTCGATTTATGGCTCGATCAATGATAACAACAGATAATAATGAAGAACAACAACAACAACAACAACAGTTATTTATTTATTCAGTTGATGCAGCATGTCCATTACCGAATCTATTTAAAACAAAACAAACAACAAATGAACAATTAAAACATCGAATGATTTATATTGATCGACATCGTTTAAATTTAGCTATTCAACAACAAAAAATGAATAAATTTTGGCAACCATTAAAAGTACTTGAATTATTTATACTTGGTCAATCACCAAATGAAGCTGTGTAAGTATACAATGTTTGATAATTCAATGTGCTATAGAAAGATAGAAAGAAAAAAAAATATCTCAACTAGAAAGTATCGAAAAAAAAAGTAATCTGTCTAGTAAATGTTGACTTTAGATATCTATAGGTTATTCTTGATTCTCTTAGTATTCTATGAGTTTGTATTTGTAACTAGTAGCTACAATGATGAATAATAATGGATAGAGATTAAGTAAAATAGTCAGAAAAATAACTACTAAACGACTAAAAGTTTGTCATCATGATCACAACGGCTTCATCTTCATCGGATGTAGGTCAGTCAACATTTTCAGTTATTTTATTTATTTATTCATAAAAAAGAAGATCTTTAAATCTATAGAGCTTTCGAGAAATATTTTTATTTAATGCATAATAATAATAATTTAGAGACTTACATATATTTCTACATGCCCTATCTCTTTGTTTATGCATTTCTATGATATATCTTTTCTAACAATGGTCACCATACCTGAGTATCAACGTAGTTCTATATGGATCCACAAGGCGCTGTGCTCAAAAGATGATCCTGGGCAACTCACTAACAGCTCTGTGTCTCGGAGCACCTGTCCAGTAGGATATCGACCACATTGTGACAAACTTACTCTTATGATTAGTTAGTGCGTATAGAAAATGCAAGAACTCTGAGTCAGTTTAGTCTTCTGTTCAAAGTTATAGTTAGTATTATTTCTAGGCAATATATCGAACTATGGAATCTGCAACTAAGCAGCATCCCATACCGAAAGGTAGAGATAGTCTTCCTTTTGTAAAAATAACTTCAACGTAAAATAAAAGTGCAGTATTTTTTAATTTATTCTTCGTATTTAGATTGTTTTCTAAATTAGTTGGTGATTGGCGAACAGCATTATGTCTAGCTTCTATATTACCACCACATAATGGATTATATGATACATCTAAATCAACAAAACATACATCTCCATCATATACACCATTAAATACAATAACAGTTGATGCATTACTTTATACAAAATTATGTGAATATCTTCAAATCGATAATCTTAAATCTGTACTTAAACGTACTTATAAACAAGATGAAATAATGTCATTTATTAAAAATGTCTCTGCAACATTAGAACAATTTCTTCAATGTGCAACACTTTTACAAGTACCATTAACTGAAATGTTATTAAGACGTTTAAATGCAATTATGATTTATTTATTTACATTAATACCAATAATTATATCATCAAAATATTATTTACCATGTCCACCAATATATGCTTCAATATTAAATACATATGATGATGATAAATATGATATAACATGTAAATATGAAACACATATACGTTTAATTTATTATCGTACAATACATATATTTATAGAAATATTATCAGCTAGTCGAATACAATTATCATGTCTTAAATGGTATTTAGATTATTTAACAATGACAAATAATCGACGTAAAAAAACAACAGATGAAACCAATGATAGTTTTTATTCAATTAAAATGTTACTTAAATCATTACGTTTTCATAAATTACCAAATATACCTGATCGAATATTAATTTATTTTCGTGATTTTTGTATTATTTTATTTTTATTAGATACTCGTGATCGTTTATCACTTACTTTACGTAATTATTTACGTCATAAAATTGAATCAATAAATTCATCGGATAAACTTGCATGGAAAATTATTAGTTATGCAACAATACTTCTTTCATTTCGTTGTTTAATATCAGATGAAATTGATTTATTACGTATTGTATTAAATCTTTTTTTTGATTTAACACCATCAGAACAATTAATGAGAGCATTAGCTACATTAATTATTGCACGACAACATCAAGATCATGATACAGATAATAATGATGAAGTTACATTAATTATTAATAAATTAAAAGCAAAATGGATGCAAATTAATCCAACTTATATTCAATTATATGAAGGATTTTTAGAAACAATTATTCTACAAGATGTTCAAGGAGATATTATTCAACACTATATGAGCGATATGTAAGATGAATTTGATAATTTTTTTTTTCTGTTTATTATTGTAAAACATATTCTCAATAATTCATCTTTTAATTATAAATCCGAAATATCATTCACGTAATTTTATTCTAAAGACTCTCACAAATTGATTCTAGATTAATTGTATGTAAATCAAGTGAAATTTTCAATCTTCTAAAATGATGTTTTCAGAGGATATTCAGCAGACAAGGATAAAATCTGTCTAACGAAAGTCGACTTTTTTTGTGGATTGAGGAGAAAGTTACAAGCTGAGTATGAAGCATTTTTTATCGATTTTCCCCTTACAGAAACATAGCACGGATGCAAAGACTGTCTTTTGTTATTTTTCCAGAAAACTTGATGTATTAATTATACAAAAGAAAAATCATTCAGAGTAGATAAGCCTACACTCTCTTATACTGTATTTGTGATAATCTTCTATTTAGTATGATGTAGAAAGAAAAGCTCAAATTTTAAAATGCATTATAATTCTTCAAATATTTACTTGTAGACATGATCATCATAATCAAGAACCATTATTTGATTTTAAACCTAAATGGTTTGAAACATGTGTTGAATACGGTGAATTTATGACAATGCTTATACCACTTCTTCTTGATACATCATCATTAACTAATACAAAACAACAAGAATTAAATAATGATCATACTAAATTTGATAGTAAATCAATACCTTTATTACAAACAATGAGTACAAAATTTCGCGAATTAGAATTACCGACAAGTCTAGATAAACGATATTTACTTAAACAAACTCCACTCTTTGTTCCACCGCATGAATATGTAGTTTTTCCTGTACGTGTTGTTCCTTATGATACACAACAAACTATGTTTCAACAAACACCAACAAGTATAAATAATATGACTATTGGAAGTTTTGTTAGTACATCGTCAACACAACAACCACCAGGTGTTGTTATTCTTGAAAATCATCATCGACGTAATTATTATAATCCCGTTAGTAATAATAATAATAATAATAATAATAATAATAATAATAATGGAAATTCATCGATGGAATGGGATGGACGTTCAGATGATCCATCACGATCACATGTACGACAATTTGATGAACCATATGCTGAAGCAGCTCGACGTAGTATTTGGATGGTAGGTTGGGCTCATCGTGATTTTACAACAACTAATGATCAAACGCAAACAACTGGTATGCGTATTCCTGTATCAGCACAATTTCTTGCATCAAGTTCATTAGTTAGTGATCCACAACATTATGAAACAGTTGTTAAACAACATTTACAACAAACTAAATTAAATAATAATCAAGCAGATAATGATAGTGATTTAACGAATGTAACTAAAGATAGTGAAGATGATGATAGAAGTCGTACACCAAGTGATTTACCATCAAGTCCTCGTCGACGTGATGTTTCATTTCGAAGAAATTCACTTGAAGAAAGTGTATCATTACCTGTAATGAGTAATGATGGTGGTGGTGGAGATTTAGGTCGTAGTCATGATTTTCGTGCACCATCACGTGAAACTGGTATTGATGAAACATTAACTTATGATCCACGTGATATGCTAGCTGAATATAAAGATTCAACTGGTCATCAACCTAGATCTCAACTAAGATCAAGTCCAACATTCCAAGTCTCACCATCAACAACGAATGGATTTCAACAACAATCACCTCATTCAGTTCGGCAATCAAATAGTGATCGTCGTTTTCTTGATGATTCGGATCCATATTTACCTTTGAGACTCGAACAAGAAGAACGAGAGAAATATGCTATGAGAGGTAATAGATAATTTTATCTTACTATTAAGAAAGAATTGAGTTTTGAATATTAACTATTAAATACAATCGAATTTAGTTTAAATTAAATTTTCATAAATTGAATAACTTGAATTTATATTATTGATTCATTTACAAGAAGTTATTTAAATCATATAAAAATTGTCGTATAGTATTCTTTCAAAGGTTTACATTACTTTGAATTTTGTCGTTAAATATACTAATTGAAAAATTCTCTAAAGGCTTATTCGTAAGATTTTTCAATAGTTTCATAAAATCAAACAAAATAGAGTAATTCATTTTCTTGATATCTATTAAGTTAATCCAGTTTCTGATCGAGGCAAATATACAGTATATATGTTTTTACCATTAGATACGAACAGAACAACATCTTCGAAACGATCTCCTCTTGGTCATTATCCATCGTCTCGAAATTCGCATAGTCATCAACCATCATATCAAGATACAAATAGTCGTCGATCTCCTACACGAGATGCACATAGCCATCGATCTCCTACTAGAGATACATATAGTTATCGACCATCTTCTCGAGATCCACAACATGATCGTCAATATCATCAATATTTTCCACAACTGCCACCATCATCATATGATCAAGCTCGAGCACCTGTGCCTATTCAATATACTTCAATACGTTTACCACTTCTTCGTCTCGGAGCGCCTGTAATCACTACTACACCGATGTTAGCACAAGCACGATATCCACCACCTCCACCACCACCGGTTGCTTTTTATCCACCTAGACCAATATATGTTTCAACAGCACCTCGTCCTCCTCTTTCAATGCTTCATTTAGCTCCTCAACTTCCACCACCAGCAGCAATTTCACCACGAGCAACACGAGCTGATCAACAAAAGTTGTCCTATGTGCAAAATATTATGCACCGATATGCTGAAAGCAATCGACCTCGTCTTCAATTATTACAAATGCGTCCACACCCTAAAATACCTGATACTACTGAATTAAAAGTACCAATGCCTGCACCTAATATTGTTACTACATCATCTGATACAAAAATTGATACAGGTATACAAGTTGACGTACCTCGACAAGATGGTTTTGTTATTGAACCAGGTCTTTTTCAAGTAAGTTTTTGTTTTATTTTCAACAACAAAAAAAAACGAAATTTTTATTTATCAACATTCATCATAGGCATTATTACGAGATGCTACTGGTGTAAATTTTACATCAGCTGAAGCTCATTATTCTGCTGCTCGTCAAATTCAACAACAAGCAATTGAAGCTCGTCGTCGTGAACGATCTACAATGACTGATTTACCAGCTCATCAAATTTTATATGATTTACAATATGCTCGTGGTGGTGAAGGAGATGAAAGAAAATTTGTTAATGTTACTGATATAGCTGGTCCACATGCTGATGCATTACTAGCTCAAATCAGACGAGATCAAATGGAACGAGAACAACTTCATTTACGACAACAACAACCACCGCCACCATCAATACCAATGGTTACTAATGTAACTGAAATGCCATCAACTACTTATCCCATTGGTTTCGAACGACAACATACACAACTATTACAACAACAACAAGAATCTATGACACAACCTTCGTATCCAAACGGATTTGAAAAGCAACCTTTAGGTTTTTATAATCCTGATGAATTGCAACAAAAAAGTGAACTTATTTTACAACGTCGACGACAACGAGAACAAGAAGAAAAACAAGCCGAACGACTTGCTTTTGGTAATATTGCTGATGATCGTTCTCAACGAAGAGTTTCGTATGAACCACACATACAAACATATGAATCAGATGAACATGTATATATTTGATTGAATCAAATTCTATTATATAATTGTTGTTGCTTTTTGTTTCAGGATGTTCCTCTTGAATATCTAATAAAGCAACCTCGCCTTACAGAACTAACATCAGATACAAGTTCACATGCAGTAGATCCTATTTCAGTTCGTTCAACTACACCTCGTTCACCACATAAACAAATTTCTAGTGAACGTCCGATTTCAATAAAGACTACAACACCTCGTGATCCATTTTCTCCGCGTAAACAAGTTTCAAGTGAACGACGAACTTCAATTAAGACTACTACACCTCGTGATTCGTTTTCTCCACGTAAACAAGTTTCAAGTGAACAACCAATTTCAATTAAAACTACTACACCTCGTGATCCATTTTCTCCACGTAAAACTGTCAGTCACTCGTCATATTCAGCAACTGGTACACCACGTAAAGCTACATCACCTACAATTGCTGATCGACATCGTGAAGCTCGTCAACGACAGCAACAAATATTATCACGTCTACGTGATGAAAATGCTCTTCGTTTTGCTGATGCTGTTCTTCATGGTGAACCTATACCACCAACACGAGCTTTAGATGAATTTCAAATTGAACCATTAGAAACAAGTTTCACATCAACTGTACGTGAACTGGCTAGTGCTGATGGCATTATTAATCGTACATATGATCTGGATTTTAATGATGATGATGTTGATATAGGTGATGATTATGTCGAACGAATACCATCGAGACCAATGTCAGCGACAACATCTCATTTTAATCATAATGCAACACAATATTCAACATCATCTTCAGTCCTACCACGACCATCATCAGCATCATCAATAAGATCTTCTCGAAAAATTACACCAATGGGAAAAGCTATTATTCAGGTTTGAACTGTTTCTTTTTGAATTGCTTCTAATTAACTGAATATATTTGTTGAAATTTAATAGAGGATTTCTTTCTATATACGAAGAGTATCGATTTATATTCTGTTTAGGCTAAACAAAAAGGTCCACCACCAGCTCGTAGTAATATGGCAAGAAAACGACCACTTTCATCTCCAGCAAATCTTGGACAAAAACGAGGTTCAATGACTGCTCCTGTAAAAAGCAGTCAAGTTCACACACAACTGGTACGAACTATACGTAAAGCATCACCACCTGCTCATAAACCAACGACATACAATCAACGTGTACGTGCTTTAAATAAGACAGATAGTGATATACGAACAATGGTGAAACCTGATTCAACTGATCCTAAGGCACTCATGCGTTTGTATGGTACACGACGAGTACCAGGTCTTTATGTACCTTATGAAAAGACGGAACCACGAGTAACAAAGACCTATTCAGAACGAATGAAAGAATTGCAACGACCTGCATCAGCTCAACCTCAAAGGCAACGACAATCACAAAGACAACAAGAAGAAGAATTTGAACGTCCATCAAGTGCTCCCTCTAGGTAAGCATTCATATGGATCACGTAAAGAATAAATTGTTAGTTTTTATTTTTAAATATTATTTCAAGTTCTGTGAGTTTGTCCGATTGGGAAATTGATGATCGTGTTAAACAATTATTAGCTGACGATCAAGATACATTACCTTATAAAAAATTGACTAAAACAGTAACACCATTAGCTGATCTTGATGAACTTGATGATGATAATATGGATGAAACAACTTATAGTTTGACTCGTGTAACTGAACAAACAAATGAAAATACTTATGGTGAAGATCTTCGATTACTACAAAATCGACGATCTAGCGCATTGAATACCAATACATATGGTGGTACAAGAGTTAGTGCACGAAGTAGTGCTGGTGGTGATATGACAGCACGTGATGAAAGTGAATTATCAAGAGGTGAAAGTAGTATTAACAGCTACCTTGATTGGAGTGTAATTGATAAAGATTTTCCGACAGGAACACAATAAACTTTATATATGTAATGTTTTTTTTCCTTGTCTTTTCTATGCTTTTATTGTCACGTAGTATTAATAAGTTTTATTGATGGGAATAATAAAACGATAGAAGCAACGTTTTTACGTTCTAGATTGAAAATACTTCTTTTGTTCTACTTTCCTAATGCTACAATTGATGAATTCGTTAACAATGAAAGTAAAAAAATTGAGACAATCAATTTCACAAGATGCCTTCCTCTTTTTTTTTGAATCCACTAATGATTAAATCTTTATTATTACAAAAGAAAAAGAAGTCATATTTTTATACTCTCTTAATTGATTGCTTTTTATTTTTGAAACGGTCTTCACCTATCGTTTAGTTTTATTCGTACGAGAAGAAGTTTCTTTGTCTACATGTATGATATAAACTTATCGAAAGATTTCAAGAACCCGCAGTATTCACAGGATGAATTTGTGAAAATTATTTCTTGTAGTAGTATATTGAATAGAAATTCATGAGCAATCAAAGCTTTTATTATCACTATTTGAGCAATGAATAATATTGTTCAGGATAGAAGTGCTATAAAATAGAGAATAGTAAGAAAATATAAAACAATAATTTCCAAAAATAAAATTACTCTACCATACTGATCTAATACATCTCCAAAAATTTATGCTTATCATTGTGAAACCGTTTAAAAAGTAAACTAGTTTGTAATATTTCGGTCATTCTATATATTACATTCCTATGCAATACACGGTTATATTTCAAGTATGACCTATTCTTTCACAGATCATTCAAATAGATTAATTTGTACTTATCTGCTTTTTCTCTAACAAAAACAATATTCAAAATTGTTGACCATCGGTGTCTTTTGATAATCTATAATGGCGCCTGTCTTAAAACTATTAAACAAATTTAGTTCAAAATTCAACTCAATGTACTGATTGCCATATAACTATCATTGAGTATTTGTGTGACACATATATCAGCAATGCATGCTTAAATTGCTCTTAGATAGTTCATGTCCTTCTCGTATAATTCAACGAATGACAGATGCCTATCTATGAAAAATCAGAGTATACGAAAATCAACATCAATTTTGAGGTTAATTCTGCTTATGTAACACGACTTGACCGTGTTTGTTCTCGAAACATAAAAAAATCATCTTTAACTGTCTTTATCAAAGAGGTTTCTCTCATGAGCAACAGACGCTTTAACGTAGACATAACTGTGTTCCTTAGCTGTTTCTGCCAATTTCAACTAGAATTTTGAGCAAAACGACTAAGTCTCTTTTGAGACACGCTTAAAGTAGTGTTCACTATTTTTCACTTTTGGTTTCCTGCATTTGCATGGATTCTAACGTTTTCTTTTTTTTTTGCTTAACTTGAAGTGCTTAAACGAGTTTTGCGCTCATTTCTCTTATAAAATACCGTTGCTGGTAGCTGCTTCAGACTTTGCTATGAATTAGTCTTGGATGTCAGATGATGCCAATTCCACTTTTTAATTGTTGCATCTCAAACAGTAAAGGCAGAACAAGCTTTTCAATTATCCCACGGATGACTAGTGTTAGACGGATCTCTGCTTTGGTTTTGCCTCGTGCTAAAAAGCTGCTATAGAAGTGTCACTAAAAAAGAAGTCAAATTAAATCAATTTACATGGGCTGCCATATCGTGTAGAAATAAATCGTCTTCCACCGAAGCCCATCGAAATGATAATTTTTTTTCAAGGCTCGTGACTACTATAATTATCATTATTGATAAAGCAAAGCGATAACAAGTGTCATGAACCAAAAAGAAAAAAGTATTATCATTTCGATGGGCTTCCGTGGAAGACAACTAATTCCTAAACGACATGGCAGTCCATGTAAAATTGATTTAATTGAAATTCTTTTTCAATGATATTTCTGTAGCAGTTTTTAGCATGAAGTAAAACCAAATTAGAAGTTCTTCCGGCACTAGTCGTCCACGAATAATTGAAGGCAATTTTTGTGCATTTTTAGTATGATTTTTTTGAGGTACGAACTCAAACAGACAAATCTGCTAGTTCTGAGCTAAAATGCACTCAAGAAAATTCTGAATCATTTTCTATCTAGTTCACGATCGTCATAACCTTTCGAATAGAAGGATATGTGAAACGTGCAACTGATAGTCGCAAAAACATTGGCAAAATTTTATTGAAATAACACGATTGAGCAGCGGTCTGCTTCCTTCCCCCAAGGATATGGGTGAGGTGAATGTGAGTGTGGTTATGTATCAGTGTTTTCTGTTCATATAAAGGCCAACATTCACATTAACACTCACACGCTTACTACCCACACCACTTCACAGTCACACCATCGACACTTGAACCCATAGAGCTTTTTTCATTCATACTGATCAATTTAATAAATCCTGTGATAAAGGAACAGAACACTTATTGAAATTTTGAGAGAATGATTGAATTAACATAAACAGAAAAGAAAAAAATGCACTTTACGCGTAAGTGTCGAAGCCATAGAGTCATGCGCGAAAGCGTTTTGCTGTGCAAGTGACGCGCGCGAAAATGTCATGCACAACAGTGTCGTTCTACGTTGAGTGGTATTATGAATTCTAAACTGAAAAGAAAATAGATGTAAAAATATTAGGGATGTCTTGCTATTTAATAAAGTTTCTTTTTAATCTATAGAGTAAAACTTTAAAATTATGTCTCCGATACTTATAGAAAACTTTTGCTTATACTTATGACTTATGTTTCTAGTAACCATACTCGGATGTAGTGAATCGCTTCTACTACATGAGATGTTCACAGAGCGAATGTGAGGAAAGTTCTCATTCTTTTTGAGTTTGTATTCAAAATAATAAAAGTGAATAGAAATTTTGTTCGTTTTAATCATCTGAAAGTACATTTTGTCATCTATGAACTGAATGATTTATCAAAATAGATAACTATATTTAATGATTATTGCTTCCTATAGTGACATCTTCATTGTGTTTTGTATTACTTTTATCTATTGATTATCTTACTGACAATCAACTCATCAAAACCAATGCAAATTAACAGCAAGAATATTAACGTAATCTATAGCTCTGTTTCATTACCCAGGAAACAATTGAAATAGCATGTATCATGTCCATTTACAAAATTTCTTTTCAAATTCGAGATCTGAAAGGAAAAGAAGAGAACAACAAGAACTAAATTACAATGTTTTGATGAATCAAAATTGATTATTGCTATTTCTCAATTGTCTCTATTGTTTCTGCGACAAACGCGGCATCCATTAGTTCCAGTAGGTACCATATTCTAACTATTCAGAAGCTTATCTCATTTCTCAAAATAATCTAGTAAAATCGCTTACTGCTGCAGATAAACTTCGCGGCCTTCTTTCACAATTAGACAATGCCAGTTCGCTTTCACCATCATCTCCTTGGTCAAGTTCATCAAAAGTAATAATCAGTCAATAAATCATTAACATAGACGAATCTATTCATGTTTACCTAGACTTCTAGTGATGTACCGACATTAAATGAACTCTATTTTCTTGTGCAAGCAGCTGATCAAATAAGTCATAGGCTTAGAGTTGAAAATGATGTATTACATGTAAGTATTCGAACAAGAAGAAAATATACTTGTGTATATGAATGAAATAAAATATTATGATATTTTCTCTATGATTATATTTATTTTGCAATAGGATGATAATATCAGACTCCAATCACATATTATTACATTAATTGAAGAAATTAATCGATTACATGAGGAAATTCGAAGTACATTTATATCAGATATGCTTCGTTTAATTAACATAGATGACGAACGACCGATGACTAATAAAGAAGTATAGTTATGAAGAGAAGATGAACTTAATTAATTTTAATTTTAATTTTTCTCAAGTCACAAATTCTCGATCTTTACACGAGAAAGATGCGTAGTCTAGAAATTGAATTGAAAGATGCTAAGTATAAATATTTATTTTGAATAAAAGCAATGAATATAATTTATTGTAATTATAGAGAAAAATTAAACATGTATGAATCTCTTTGGTATGCACCTAATGATCGTATGAATTGTCTCAAATGTGGAGTTGCTCTTCCATGTGGTCAATATATCAGTACAGATAATGAAAAATATACTAATATTATTATGTAAAATTCTCGAAAAGAAAAATGTCAAGTGACACACATCCTTCTTTCTACATAAAGTGATGAATAATGATGTTTGACATTTTTTTATTTGCTTTTGTACCATCATTTTATGAAAGTAGAGGAATATGTGGAAATTTGAAAGAAAGATCTTATATAGGATTTCCTTGATTATAACAGAAATCCTGTTTCGTCAAGAGAAGCTTGTTGAAGTTTCAATCAACCAAAAAAACTAACTATATTATAAGCCACGCATACGTCTCAATGAGAACGAGAAACGATTGATACATACACCACATATAGATTATTTGAGAGAAACCTGAAAATAATCCTCAATTTATGAATGATTTTTTTCGTTCTTCATACACTGATAGACAACTTTTTTGAGAGATCTTATAAACTGAGTTACTTCTCTTTCTATAATTACTCAATAGAACTGAAGTCATACAAATAGAAAAATCAAAATACTGATTACATTTTGATAATTAAAAACTTTCTAAAAGCAAAATGTTGATAAAGTAAAATGCCTATTTCATGACAGACAATCGACAACTGTCATATCAACTATTTGTTATTTTTATATAACGAGTAGCTTTTCTTTTCAAAAACATATTGGAAAGATGGTGTGAGTGTGAATGGATATGAGTCTGACCTGAATTCATATCTACACTCACCCACACCCTCACTTACATACATGTCACTCTCGATTCACTTCATGTAAGGTGAATCGATAAATTTTCCTTTCTTGTTGCTTTCATGATACATATCTGTAAAAGCATTATCGGAATTGGTGTAAAAATAGATGAGAAACTTTAATTTTACTATCAAAGCTGAACTTTGTTACAATTATACATTTGCTACAAATGGGAACCAGCCGACAAAGTTTTGAAAATAGAAAGTTCAAAAACAAAGTTTACTCTAATTGTTTCTGAAAATGTTTTTATATTCTAAAATGACGGAAGTGTAAAACTAAAAATGTGAAAACGAAAAAAAGGTCTGTTAATTCACCATACATGTCTCTATTGTCTTTTTTGTTTTGCATTTTAGAAGCGCATAAATATTGTATTTCTCCTGTTAACGAAATGTATCCTGAATTTCTGAGACGGTGAAAAATGCCACTGCTAGTAATGAACGATTCATTGTCATGAGGTTGAACTATGTTTCATTTTCTATTTACTCAAGCAAATTTTATTTTGAATCTTTATTTTTACCGATTGAGTCAGTTTTCTAGTATTTTACATTTTTCTTTTTTTTTAAATATCTTATAATTACTTGATTTCATTTTTGCTAATTTTAGAATATCAAATATAAGTCAGTTACACTTAATATTCTCAGTTTATTGAGACCCTTGGTTTTGATTTGAATTGTTTCGAATTATTTTTCGAATATACATAGTTTAAAAAAAAAATAGTCAGAAGACTTATTTTCGTTACGTATTTGCAGTTGAAACATAAACGTTTCATTTCATTGTTATATCATCATTTAGTTTCTTTTTCGATAATGTAAAGATTACTATTATTAATGTTCTAAATACTTTAACTGATGTATAACTGATGAATTCTAGAATGAGAGCATTTCTATATGAAGAACAGCTATGAAAGAAAATATTTTTAGTAAAATTATTTTCTATTTCTTATTAGTGCCGCTTTATTTGAAACTTAATGTGACGCTCTTTTATTTGTAAAGAACAGCTACTCGTTCTCGATACTTTTCGATGATACAAATTAGCCACAATCGCTTCTTTTTCTTACTTATACTCGTTCATCATCTCCAACAATTCCACCACAACTTTCATTAATTGTTAAAACTGTTAGTCTTGCAATTGATCTTCGTTGTTATATAGATTAGTTGAAATATTAACTGTACCGCAAAATATTTGGTTTCAGAATAACGATGTTGAATTCAGACGATCAGCTTAATAAGAACAAACTTATTTTGCTTATAATAATGATCAAGATATGATCATATACAATTGTTAAAGATCTTTCTGGTCTCAAAATCAATTGAAAGAGAAAAACAAAGTAAATAGTATATAGATAATATGATTAACGAAAAAGTAATGAATATAACATTAGAATTTATTTCTCAAACATATCGTGAACTAGGTAATAAATTAATAAAGTAATTACTGTTGAAAACTATCTATTATTTATTCTATTAATCAAATAATAACAAAAATACGATTACAAGAGAGGAAAATAGTTATAGAAGTGTTTAGAATGCACTATTGTTTTGTCAATAATTAATTGTTTCACCTGAGCACAATTGCGTCGTGTTGCATCTCTTGTAAAGTTTTTTGTTACAAATCTTAATTCATTATAACGGACCATTAATTCAGTTAAATGTGGTAAATGCGTTTTTGTCTCATTGAGAAACTGCTCGACATAATCAATATGACTCCATTGTAGACAAAGCGAAAAAAGATTTGGATATTCAACAATTGAATACAATTCATTATTGTTAGAGACCAAATTGTCTCTCATTTGTGACTCTGAGTCGAAATTAATAACACGTAATTTTTTAAGCACAGGAAAAAAGCATGCGATTCGGATAAAAAATTCATGTTTGAACGGAATTTTATCGTATACCGCCAACTCTCTAACACGACTGAAGTCTATTGGTGGAAATGTATTGCCAATATCTCCGAGATAATCAAACGCGAACGGTAGTGAAAAAACATGACATATGACACTATTAATGTTGTAGTTTAGTATACAGCATACTTGTTGATATCCTATGTTGATAAAAGTTCGTTGAATATCTTCATTCGATGAATAATGAGTTAAATGATGTAATTCAACTTCAACACTGATATGAAAAATAAATTTACGAAGACATGGCATATGTACAAGAATTTTATCATTAATTTGAGTACCATCGATAAATGTAGTTCGTTCGTCGTTAATAATATTCAAAGTTAATTCTTCAAGTTTTCTCATACGATGAAGAAGAGGCAAAACTCGAGTATCATATTCACTAGTTGAACAACGAGATGTTAATGAGAAACATTTCATATTAGGTAGATCATCCTAAAAACAAATCAATATTTCTAAGTATATTATTATTGATTATAGAGATAAAAGTTTAGACGAATAAATGATTTTTGAAACTTTGCATATACAGAAAATCATCGACTATTGATCAGATAGATAACTCAAATATTTTAAATTAAAAAAAAAACCATCTAATAATACATAAACTCACTATATTGTAAATAGTTGACAAATCATCTTCCGGACAATCAATGTTAACAATAAATGTAGTCAATTGTTTGAGACGACCATCAAGTAAAGCAAGACAATCTTCAAAGCCACAAACATCAACACATAATTTGTTAAGATTTAATGATAACCATGTAGTCGAAGCTATATCATGAATAGATAAAAGTTGAACACATCCAATTACAGTGAAATGTTTTAGATTTTCAAAAAGTTTCAGTGTATATTCATACACATATTTTGTGTTAGAATTCATTAGTAGCATGTCAGTATCTCTGTTATATACAAGAATAAGATCGGTAATTTGTTCTTGAAAAATACGACGAAATGGTGATTCATCTAAATAAAGAATAATTAGATATTGTGTACTGTATATAACGTTTCCATTTATATCTATTCTCACATTTCCATTGAAGTTTCTTACCTCTAAAATAACGTGAAACAATATGATCGTTAACATTGTAGAGTTTAAGTTCAGTTAGATTAGGATAATCAGCAGCAAGAAGAATACGTTCCATAGATTCTGATTCAAGAATAAGTGATTTAACATTATAATTAACTTTTGGAAGTATACTAATGCAAAATCGATCAAGTATTGAATCAGCAATCGACAAAACATCATCGGTTATCATTGTTAATACAAAATTGAGAGTATTAGTGAATGTTTTTTCTTGTACTATCATATCAAGCCGTTGATTATCAACATCCAATAATGAATAGAGAACATCCATATTGTTAAGTTTCTGTAAAATAATGAGTAATATTTCATTAGGTAGATCAAGAAGACTAACGTTTGACTGATGCATACTGACTGTAACAAACGCTCTGTTTACGATGCATATATACATATATATCTAACCTTTTTTTTGTATCTATTTCCATCATCGAACAAAAAAATGAATGGATGACCGCGTGAAAAAATTATATACCGTCGATGGATAGTCCAAAAATTCGCTGATAAATATTTTTTCTTTTTCTTCTTAAGAAAACAACCAATTCTACAGAATTGATAAACATCTTTTGTTACAAACAAGTTTATTTCGATTATTTCGTATCATTTTTTCTACGGATGTTGTGTCAGCATTTATATTGATTATCATTTTTTTTCATTAACAAAGTATTTTGAAAACTAAAGTAGCCAAATATTTTGTTTCCTAACAATTATTCTGTTATTTTTATACTTGAATAATGATTGTTGTTTTATTTAGCAGAAAAGATTTACCATAGAAGAAAAAAGAAAACTTTAACAGAAGAAAGATTTACAAAAGAAAGAATTTTTGATAACATGACTGCCATTATCGAACATTATTTTCTTTGTTTTTAAGACGATCTTTTTCTAAAACGTAATATTTAAAACAGTTTAGTTAATCATATTTTTTTACCTTTTCGTTCTAATAACTTCTGTAATCCTTCTTTTTCAACAGCTAATTTGGCCTTAACACCTGATACAGATTTTCCTTTTGATCTTGCTTCTTTTATTTCACTTTTGAGACCTTCAATAATTGTGTTCTTTTCTTTGATCTATACATAAATTTTATAATACAAAAACCATCGTCATTTCATCTTACTTTATCATCTATCGTTAAAGATTTCCAGGCTGTAATGTCCATTCCAAACCACAAATCGTCTTCAGGTACATAATAACCAGTTGCTACAGCCGAATCACCACTTGCTATAGCCGAACCACCACTTCGTATAGCCAAATCACCACTTGCCATAGCCGAATCACCAGTAAGAATTTTAACGGAATCATCAATTGGAATTCTAATCGAATAATCAGCAAGAATCTTCAACGAATCATCAAAAGGCATTTTAGCCGAATCATAGAAAAACACTTTCCTTTAATTTGAATTGAGGTACTTTTAATGAAAATACAAAAATAAACTATATGAAATATTCTGTACAAACGTCATTTTTGGTCTCCATCAAAGATTTGCTCTCAATAAATCAATTTCAAGTCAGAAAAAGAATTCTGAATACATATTTAGAGAGAGCACCAAATTCCGATTCTAACTGACTACTTTTCATTTTCTCAACTTCTTTCTAAGTGACCGAAAGTTGAACAAACATTTTGTCTCAAGACTTTTGCAACAGGAGTTATATAGTCTATATTAATTGTACTATATAACTAATAATGAAAATCTTGTTTGAATACTTTTATTTGCTATAAAACTGACTATAAAAGGATTCAAAAAAGAAATTCAATGAATAATATTAATGCGAAGAATACTATGATGTTAACATTTCATAACTAATTTTAAGATGACAAATATAAAATCTTCTCATGTTTATTTTTTGTTATTTTTTCATTTAAATATAATTTCAAAATAGATGACAAAAGTCAATGTAAATATGATTGAACTTCATGAGAATACGTATTTCTAACTAGAAAATCTAAAAAATCTTCATAAATAAGAGAAGATTGTATGTTTAAACATGAAAATATCAAACATAATTCATCTTTCTATTGTTAATTATTCAAGTTTTACAACAAAAAGTATCACATATTTCATTGTAGTTTTAATAATAATACGTCAATATTAGACGTGGATGATAAGTTCGAAGGTTTCAAATCAGAGTACAAATCTGAGAAAAAAAAAGAAGAATAGGTCAAATCCATTCCAAGTTTGATTTCTTTTGATATTTGTAATTGGATTTGTAAATTTTCTTATCAATGATATCTTTTTAAATAAGTTTCAATAATTTAAAAAAAAAAACAACTTTTCAAACAATATTCTCTTTGTTGATCTTTAGAAGATTATTTATTATTACACATTGAAATGATTTGTTCATGATCTATTTTTAGAAAAGAGTTATTTCAAATGATAAATCATTTTTCAGTTTAGATTCTATGTATAAAGTAAACTCTAGTGAGATATGAAAAGCTCGAAAAAAGTGAATATTCTTAGATCTTATCTCAAAAATTAGCACAATTCTATATAAATTTAAAATTATAACATCGTATGTACAAATAAATTGAATGATAGTACTTACTTTAACCTGAAATTTAATCCACAAATACATCTATTTATGATTAGAATGTCTTGAAAATTTTCATCTTAAAAAAAAAAAAAGACAATGTTTTCTTCATAAGATATTACATTTTCAAAAAAAAATTGAGATTAATGCAACTTTCTTAGGATATAAATGTTTATTTGAAAATTCAATATTTCGTGAAATTTCGAGCTTTTTATATCTTACTAGGATTTATCTTATACATATAAAATCTAAATTGAAAAGAGATTTATTACTTGAAATAAAAAAAAAATTTGGAATCAAAATCTAAGTTAAAGAAAAAAAAAATAGTTTGAATTCGAATTCGAGTCCTAAAGAACTTTTTTCTAATCATTAGACGAAGATGTATATTCCTATTAGATGGATCTATTATGATTCGATTTTTCATTACAATTGAACTAAATTTTAAACTATATTTTGAATAATTATTAGTTTGTTTTTTCTAGTTACAATAGAAATCTAGTGAAAGGAAAATCATAATTTGAAAATTTCAAATGAAGAAAAATATTATTTCTAGATTGAATTTATAAAATTTTTATGATCAAATATCAAAATGTAAAAAAAAACAATGATCTATTAGAAATAGAATATATAATAATTTCAAAGAAAATCATAATGAAAGAATAGTATGATCAGGGTTGGAACCGATCCGGCCGGACCGGTTGAAGAAATCAACCGGGCCGGTGAAGACCGGAATTTCACCGGTTGAAATTTTTCAAAAATCTTCTTTGTTAATCCTGTCTTTGACCATAAAAACTAAGGTATCACATGTTTTTTCTGTCAGAATAGGTAAAAAAGTGCTCAAAACATATGTTATATTAATCGTTTTTCCTGATGTTCTCTTTAAAAAGATTCATTATGATGAGCGTTTTTTACATGCGCCTTAAACTATTTCATATTTGGAGCGATTTTTTCTAAAAAACAGTTTTCAAAAAAAAAATTCAACATTTTTCCACCGGTTTTTAACCGGTTTTCACCAGAATTTCACCGGTTGGACATGTGATTCCAACCGGCCGGTTTCCGGCCGAACCGGACCGGTAGGATTTTTCCACCGGCCGGACCGGACCGTTAGGATTTTTCCACCAGCCGGACCGGACCGTATTAATATTTCTCAACCGGTTCCACCCCTGAGTATGATTAATATGCTTTCATTAAAAAAAGAACAAGATAATTTTGATGACTATTGTATTTATATTTATATTAATAATAAATAACTGATAAATTATATATAACTTACTTTAATATTGTTACTATTTGTTAACATCCTTGTTAAACGATCAATTCCTATACTCCAACCTCCGGTTGAAGGTAAACCATATTCAAGTGCTTTACAATAATTTTCATCAATTGTTTGAGCTTCTTCATCATCAACTAGTGTTTATTCTTAAAAAAAAGTTATTTATTATTTATCAAAATTAATTGTTCAAGTTTTAGAAAAATAATAATATTTACTTTTGCTTGTAATTCAAACATTTCACGTTGTACAATTGGATTATTCAATTCAGTATATGCATTACATAATTCTTTATAACAAACAAATAATTCAAAACGTTCTGTTAAACCATGTATAGAACGATGACTAAAATAAGCATGACAAAAGAAAATAAATATAATAAAATATCGATAAAATGAGATAATCATGTTTATAGAAAATGGAACAAGAAAATTTTTCATTCTATTTTGCCAATGGACTCATGATTTGTGAATGATCATAAAGAAATGTTGGATTAAGACAATGTGGTTCAATAAAATGACCAACAAGCTAAAAACTATATATTTAAAAAAAAAAAGCAAATGAATATGTGTCTATTTATTCATAGAGAAAATGAAACTAATAAACTTAAATTACAAAAAATCCAAGTAAAACTTGAACAAATAGAAGCTAAAGAACAAGAAACATTAAATAAATTAAAAGAATCTCTTGCCATAACTGAACAAGATAAATTTGAAAGAGTAGAAGTAAATTATTTGCTATTAAATTTCTATTTTTTTTTCTTATTTTCAACTAGGCTATTGTTGAACGTGATCAAATTAAAATTGAACTTGTTGAAATTCAAAAGAGACTAAAAAAATTCCTAGATGAGATAAATGACAAGGTTATTAATGAAAAACAAAATATTGAAGTCATATATCAAGATCGATTAAAAGAAAATACTGAAAAAGTAACTAATGGATAAATTAAACCCAAAACAAAAGAATCTTCATATATGTTCAGATAAGACAAATCGAAGAACAATGTACACAATATGAATTAACCATTGATAGATTAACTCGAGAAAAAATATCGTTAGCAACCGACATAGATGTATGGAAGGAACGTTTTCAACAACAAGAAATTGATTTAAGTCAGGTGAATGATCTTTCTTTAATTTCATATCTTATATTAATTAAAAGAATTATTTTTCTTTTTTTAGACGACAGATTCTATTAAACATACAATTCAAAAATCAATAAGTGAACGTGATCAAGCTAATAGTAATACCATACAAATTCGATCAGATTTTGAGAAATTACTGTTACAAAGTAACCAGGTAAAAATAAATATAAAACACAAGAAGAGAGAAAAATATCTTTCGATTAGGATTTACTTCAACTTCGTTATCAACTTAGTTCAACACAAAATCGTCTTAATGACACTGAAAGTGAATTGCTTCAATCCAAGAAACAATGTCTCGATTTAACAAAAGAAATAAATCGTTTAACACAAGAAGTACAAAAGAAGTTGTTGTTTTCCTCTGACAAGAGAGTCCCCTCCCGATTAGAATGATTTTTGTACCTATAAATACTATCGAATGCTTCAATAAAAACTTTAAAAGGACATTATATTCTATTGATATTAGACCAAACTATTGGCTTGTTAATATATCTATTTTTTAGAGACCGTAGAGTTTCAGAAAACTCGTATTTTAGAATTTCGATCTAAAACTTTTCACATACAGAGGAATCAACTAGAGAAGCTCGCAAAAGAATTCAAAAACTTTGAACAAAGCTTCTTCAAAATATCAGACTTGCAAGATGCAAACACTTTTCAATCGATAGTATATATAACATGTAATTTTTGGAAGCTTCTGAATTTTTTCATGCAAGCTAGTCTACTTGGATTCTCTATATGTGTGTGAAGTGTCAAATTGAAATTCAAAAATATAAGTTTTCTAAAAATTTGCACTCTCTAGAAAATAGACATTAAAAAGTCGATAGCTCAGTCAAATATCAATAGGAACTTGAATGCTTTTAGAAGTTTTACTATAACACTATGAAGTATCTATAGAGAAAAAATCTTTGAAATTAGAACGGAGGCAGCTGGTGAGGTTCTTATTTTTAGTTCAATAGTATTGTTTTTTTTTTCTATAGGATTCTTTATTATCTATTTATCGATCCTAAGTAAATAAAAGTAAATAGCACTACTTCATAGGAATGTAAACAGAGTGATGCATATCGAAGAAGGCTTATATGATCTTGAAATTCCTGGAATTACGCACGATTCGAAATATTAAACCTGATTGATTCTATGATATCTGATAAATCTTATACAGTTTCTGAAGCTCGCTATTTGCTTGTTACACAAAAGATTAACTATAAGAACGTTCTCCTTTCATTAGAACATTATGTTAAAAAGTATTAAACAAAGTCTTGAACGATCACGTGAAGAAAATATGAATGCAATTCTTGTTATATTAAATAAACATGAACAAGATTATCGAACAATAATTGAAAATCTTGAACTAGAACGGCATCAATCATTATCTTATCTTGAAAATCTTGTTCATGATCAAAATACAATACTAAATAAATTACGTTAATATTCAAGACAATTAACTAATTACATTGAAATAATATTTGAACAGAAAATTGAAATTATTCAAGAAGTAACAATTGAAAACCAAGAATTACATATAAAATTATTAAATGCATATGAACATCTTGAACAATTCGATAGCCAATTATTACAACATTATCATACACATATTAAATTACAGAAACAAATTATTGATTTAAATAATCAAGTTAAAACTTATAAAAATATTGTAAGTAATTTTTATTATTATTTTGAAATAAGATTAATGTAAAATGCACTGTTTTAGATTAATAAAATTTAAGTAGAAGATTTAATTGCTTATCCACAAAGATTAACGCTTATATCCCAGTGAAATTTATTTTTATTTCTATTTTTGATATGTGAATTATATTTTTTATAAAATAAAAAGGTAGACTATAAATAAATAAATAAATGAAAATATAGCTGTGAGCAACCCATCCAGGAAGCATACAAAATATCTAACGTGTAGAAAAAAAACCGGAAATTTATAAACTAATAAAAATTTAATGTTTTATCCAGTGCTATTGTCTGTATCTTGGGATGCTGGCGATTGCGTTTCTTCGTTGAGATTTATAGTAAAAGCCACCGGTGTTCGAGCACGATTTCGTCGTCGAACATTATAAAGCTCTCGAACAATTACTGTATCACGTGGTCTTTGAGCACCGGATTGTGGTAAATTAGGAACACTAGGCTGATCAAGTATAAATGTACCACGTCGTTGTAAACCGTTCGTTAATTGTTGTTGTTCTTGAATCGGTACCATAGTAGAAGCTCGACGTCTTCCTCTTGCAGCACCAACACCTCCTCCTCCACCACGACCTCCGCTACCACCAAAGATTGGTCGATCATCTCCTTCGAGTGATCGTGCTGCGGTTGTGCTTGTTACATAATTACGTTGTGGTGATGATTCTGCTGGCGGAACAGTTGATTGTTGAGCTTGTCGAGAATTACTGGCTGCAAATGGATTTGAGCCAAATATAGATGTTGACTGAACATTAGATGTAGAACGACGAGTTGATTGTGGATCCCATGAAGCTGTATAGGACGATGTATTGGTCCGAGCAGGTACTGTTAAACTGAGATCAGCAAATGCATTATCAGTATTTCGTGGAGTATTGAGTTGTGTTGGACGATAAGAAATAGTCTGAGATAGTAAAGGAGTTTGTGATGTTGCAGAATCACGAGAATTAAAAAGATTTTCCAAATGTCGATCTAAAGGATTTAATAACTAAGCAATCCATCAATTATTTTTACTCATAGACTTACATTGATCATTTTGAGATTGTGCCTGACTATTTAATGGATTTCGTGGTGGCGTTGCATATTGTGTTGCAGCGTGCGGGTATGGTGCTGTAGAAAATTGTGGTTGTTGTTGAGATCGAACAACTTGACCTGTTGAAGTTTGAGATTGTTGTTGTTGCTGCTGTTGTTGTTGTTGTGGTTGTCCTTGAGAGCCATCAATCAATCGACCAAAATTTTGTATAGCGGAAGAAATAGCTGCTTGATCATTAAATGTAAATCGTAACTGGATAATTTTGTCAATAATAGATAGATATATTTTAAATCATACATATGACCTTATTCATTACCTGCTCACCTTCTGTACATCAGATGGTATTTGTGCTTGCAAAGCATCAATTTGTTGTGCATAAAGATCAGATTGTGTTCGTATATTTGCTAAATCTACATCCGTAATTAATTGTCCACTTATTAAAATAAATAAAACAAATCATAAATAGTTCAAATAAAATAGTTGATTCTTTTTTTTTTGTTTTTTACTTCGGATATGATGTTCCAACCGATTCACAAAAACTTGCTACACTTGCTAATTCAACTTCAGCAGTTTCTTGTTGTATACGAAACGTTCTAAGAAAAAAAGAAATATCGTAGAACATCTACAATAGATATCAATCATTTTCGTATACCTCAATTGTGATTGCATATAAACTTCAGCTTCAGTAAGTAATGATGCTTCACGATGTTTTAATTCATCAATTAAAGCAGCTATTGTTGATGTTATATCTCGTCGAATTTGTTCATAATTAGTTTTAACACTATTAACTCGTTGTTCATAAGATGAAATTTTATCACTTAATCTTGGTAATGTACGACGAAGGTGACTAACTGATGAACTTATATTATAAAATGTTTCACGTAAATGTGGTTCACGACAATCGGAACAGAAAAAATTTGAACAATCATGGCATTTTATTAGAGCTTTGAAAAAAATTAATAAAATACAAATAGTTCTTTCTTTTCAATAGAGATTATTTTCTGATTTATCATACTTTGTTTTTGTTCTTTACAACGAGAGCATCGATCAGGAAGATTGATAATTGTTGATGGTTGAATATCAAGAAATCCAATCATTGTTAAATTAGAAGGAAAAGCTTGAACTCCACCTGATAATAAAAATTTTAATTAAAAGCACATAGAAAAATCTTTTCTTTCAAACCTGATGGGATTTGATGTTCTCGACGACATTCAGGACAACGTAATGAACGTGCTCGTGGATCAACCAAATTTGTTAAACATGGTGTTAAACAAAAGGTATGCATGCATGGCAAAACTTTTGGAATACGAAATTTATCCAAACAAATAGGACATGTTGTCAAACGATCCATTCGATTTGAATTATTCCGACCAGCAGTAGCCATTTATCAGTTTTTTTTTATAAACTTTTATTTTCTTTTGGATGACTCAAATCAGTTTTTGATAACAGAAATTTGAGAATAATATAACACCATATTTTTCACTGTGCGGTGTCGTTGACAATCATCCTCATCATGCTATGAACAAGATGTCGCAATCTATTGGAATTTTTCATCGTCATGATTTTTTTTATGCTTTATTCGAACATGTGTATATTCTTATTCGATGAAACTCAAGAAGTTTTCGAAAATATGTTACCATTCAAGATATTGATTTTACATCTATGGAATAGTTTTGAATAGATTGAAATTCACATACTGATAATCTCAATCAATATTTATTATTTATCGAAAAGTATATAATTTTTGATTAGTAAATTTTCAATTGACAAATCTTTCACAATGAAATCGTTTTTTTTTTTCTTTAAGATGGTTTCTATGAAAAAAACGTTGTATGTAATTTTATGATTCGTTTCTTTTACAGCAAAAGTTATGAATGAACTAGTTCAAAATTTTTTGTAAAAAAAACAAAACGATCGTGAGGATTGAGGAAGATATTTTTAAAATGTTAAAAATTCATAAATAAAGTTGACCTTAATCTTTTAAGATTTTTCACTTCAAAATTCTGGAAAGTAGACATAGTTTGATGTAAATATACAAATTAAAGTTCTAATTCTGTGAAAAATCAATTAATGGCAGGAGTCACCGATTACTTCTGTCGTATCATTTATCCAAGTCATGTCTTCTATCGTCAGAATAGGATGTTACTAAAAATTCATGATTGCATGTTTCATACTATAAATATATTATATTATAAATTAGGACCCAAGAGAATAACAATATGACCTTTTGTCCTCGAATATTTATGACATTCACTAAGAAATAAATTTAAGTCAAAATTAATAATTTTCTATCACGATAACCAACAAAAAAAGAAGCGCTGATGTCATAAAATATAAATTACGAATTAATATTTCTCGATTATTTAACACTTCAAAAAAAAAGCAGTCTTCATTTTAATTAACTTCCTCGAAAAATATGTGACTACTCATGATACCTACATTAGTAGTATGAAAACTACAACATGTCATAATGATTTCAACCTACTTGTTTACATTTTCTACAATATGAATTAAAATCTACTTAAAGGTTAGTTATATAATAAAATCGTTCTAATAACTTTTTTAAAATTACTACACCTCAAGCATGAAATTAAAAATCTGTTGATCAAGTCTTAATTATTTATTAAAATATTAAGTTGACTTTGTAACTGATTCATTTATGTCTATTAAAGTTGTTGTCATATTTATGAAATGACAATTGATGATAGAATTATCGTATCATTTGATACGAATGTACACAATTAATTGGAAAAAAAAACAACAAACTTTAATCAAGGAAGTTTGCTTTGATGAAAATCAATTTCTAAAACCAATGACATTCATAGAACGTTATTTTTATGAAGAAAGTTCATGAGCATCCTTATGAACATAACTCAATGATTTTGACCACTCAAGCGTTCTAATTCGATTTAATAAACAGTACATAAATACTGATGTATTTTTTGTCTTCTTTCAACATAGCTAGTATTATCATCATATAGTTTCTATTGTTATTGCATGTATCTAATTAGGGAATAGATTATCGTTCTTGTCATTGTGTGCAACAAATCGAGTTTGATACTTGACTATTCGCTATTATTTTGTTGTTTACATGTACATATTTATAGAAACGATTCAGAGCGGATAATAGTGAAATCTAGAAAACAGAACAATAACGACGAGAGCATCGTTTTCGATTAAAACATTTATTGAATCATGATATGTTTGTCAAGGGTGCGCAAATGAAATATTTAGGTGTTTGAAGCAAACATGAATTTGTGTTGATACTTGTTTTCTGATTGCCGCGAAATATTTCTTTCTACAACGTACCCCAAAAGTCATGGTTACTTAATAAATATAAGTAACTTCGCTACTGATCAAACTTAATCAAAATCTTTTTTTTTTGCTATTTGAGATAGAAGAGTACTAAATTTTAATTCGTTAAGACAGCGTTCATCAACAGTCTAGTAAATGTAACCCTTTCGGCTACAATTTAAGAATTAGGCTTTTTTCAATGTTTACTAGAATTTCTATTGTGATTATGGACTTCAAATCATGTAGATTTTTTATTATTGCTTTTTAATCATTTGTTTGACATGTTTCAAAACCATTTAAACTTTTATAACCATGTTAATGAATTTCTTGAACTGTTTTTTAACTTATGATTATATTACAATTGAGTCTTGTACTTCCTTTTCGTAAGAATATATCAAAACAAATGTTGAGAAAACTACTGTAAAAAGGTTTTTAAATGATATAAAATTCATAATAATCATAAGAGCTCAATTAGATTTTAGAACTACAATGATACTTATTGTTGGTAGAATCAGAAAAAATGTAATTTTTAAAAACCAAAAATGTGACATTTATTATATTGTTGATGAACTTGGTTTTTAAGAATCAATATTTACGAGTCTCCTATTAGAAATAAGGAAAAAGACTTTTAATTAAGCTTGATTAGTACTCAAGTTATTTGGAATTATTAACCGTTCAAAACTTTTGTAACATTCTGTAAATGTATCAAATAA